GTAGGGTACCCTAACCCTAAACTCTCATAGGCAGGAAACCCTAATCCTGATTCCTGTAGGTGAGGTACTCCTAACCCTAACTTCTCATAGAAAGGGTACCTAACCGCTGCAGGTAGAGTACTATAACCCTACCCTCTCATAGGGGGGATACCTGTCTCTAACCCCTGTAGGCAGCAGGCGTGTAGCACTGGCCAGACAGATTTGTCTGGGAAAGGAACAGTAAAAATGTGAGCGAGTGTTTCTTGTCGTATTCTCATGCCTGTCCCCCAGAGCCTGTGTGAGAGGGGCCCCAGTGCCGCAGTGCTGCAGGTCTTCTTCTCTATCCTCAGCGCCCAGTACACCCTCGTTCCCAGCATGATGCACCAGTTCTCCGCCAGACTGGGTGAGATAGGCCGACCACCACCACAGAGAGGGCGCTGTTCATTTTTCTGCTTTAATAGCATAGAGGTTTTAAAGAGAGTCCACAGCCAGACCACACTCTTAATCAACTGCTCTACAGCAGCTTCTGTGCCCAAGCGTTGGCCATGCCAAGGGTCTCACTGACCCTTCGACAGAGCTTTTACATTAAAGACCTCGCTCTGCAGTTCCTGTTGCCGGACAGGCAGGGGCGAATCGGGTTCTCGGGAGTGTGGATTTTGGGATTGGGGATTTTGGGAGTGTGGATTTGAATTGTTGGCTTGACGTCTGTAATTCACAGCATCGTGCTCGTTCTTCAAACTGACGGTGGAGCTGAAGGCTGCTTTCTGTTCAGGACAGAGGTGGGGACACTAAAGCCTTGTTTTTAAACACCACACTTAATAATTACCGTATCTTTGATCTTTATTTTGGTGAACAAGACGTGTGAGAATATACAAATGTATATTTATTCTTAGATTGATTTACTGTTTCCATGCTGCCATGCCATTGTTTTAACAACATAAAAACACGAATAGCACTCAACTTACCTCGCCAACCTGCTGGCTTCATTACTCAACAAGCTGCTTGAACCCCTTGAACGGTTGTAAACTTCATGGGCCAGTGGGTTAACTGCGACCTCTGCTGGAGAGAAACTGGATTCTGGGTGGGTTCTGGAGGAGCTGGCTTAGTGAAGCCCTGTCTTTATCCTAGTACTCAGGTTGCCGTTCCTATATTGGGCCCGGGAACGCTTCTCACTGTGTGGACGTGGAGCTTGTAAATTCGTTAATTAGTTGCTGATCAGTTCAATGACAAAGTTACCATGCAGGCTGTGCCAAAGCCCAGCTCTGTGAGGGCTTGAAAGGGCTCGTGTGTTTGTCTGGGGGCACAGTGGAAAACATCACTGGGGTTGGGAGGTGTGGGCAGGCGTGACCTTCCTGTCTCCCCAGGAACACCCCTGTGAATGCAGCCTGTTCCGAGCTGCTGCAGAGGATGTGTCTGTGTCTGCTGTCTGACCAGGACACAGCGGAGACTGCTCAGCAGGGTGAGTGACACAGGCACTGTATTCTAACTGAGTACAGCTCGCTACAGACTGACCAGGACATCGCTAACATCACACATCGAAGAAAGGAATGTAATTCACCACACTGCATTGGAGCTGAATGCGTTATTCTGTCCGCCCTGGGAGTCATAGAATCTGTACAGCACAGCAAACAACACCCTGCATGTTACATGTGGGGCAGAGATGTGGCTCTGTGGCTCAGGATCTGGACCTGTGGCTGGGAGGTTGTCGGTTCGTGTCCTGCGGCCGGCAGAGGAATCCTACTCCGTTGGGCCCCTGAGCAAGGCCCTTAACCCCAACAGCTCAGGGGTGCTGTATAAATGGCTGACCCTGCGCTCTGACCCCCAGCTTCTCTCCCTGTCTGTGTGTCTCACAGTGAGCAAGTTGGGGTCTGTGAAAAGACAAACTCCTAATACAAGAAATTGTATATGGCCAATAAAGTGATCTTATATTATAACACATTGCAGTTTAATGTACAGTAATCTCCAGCCTGGACATTAAAAAGAGTCTTCACCACAGTGTGGGTGCTGAAAACCCTCTCTTATATTCTTATAGTTCTGTACACAATAGTGTTAGACCAGAGCCCTTGAGTCTGCTGTACCCGTGAGAGAATAGTACTGTATGTCCAGTAAAACCTAACACAAGTCTTACAGCCCCTGCTTTCAGCCACACTGGGTGAGTGCAGCTCACAGTGTCCTGCACACGCCTCGGTCCAGCTCAGTCACCAGGGGTGGGTCTTTGTCAGGGCAGGAGCTCCTCATGTACTGAACGTGAGCCTGCACACAGGCTGAGGGCGAGACGTGACACCGTTCTGCTGGACCGCCCCTGGGTTCCCGGTACCGCTTCCCGTGCCTGTGTGAGTGGGTGTGTGTGTGTGTCTCCGCAGACCTGCAGCAGGTGGGCAGGGTGCTGGCGAGGAGCCTGCCCGGCCTGTGCGCCCGTCTCTCGGAGTGGCCGGACCTGCTGCGCGAGGACCCCGGACCCGCGGGCACCGCGCGCCAGGGGCCGAGAGCCGCACAGTACACCCTGCTGCTTCTGCTGCACCTGGCTCTCCTGCACCGCGACCGGTGGGCAGCCCCTCCGCGGCCGCGCGCTCCCGCTCGTCGGGGGTGTGGCTCAGTCTCACTCCAGCGGGCTGCCTCATCGGCTCGGCTTTCCCTCGCGTCTCGAGTCCGGCCGGTTTTGTACATACGCTGTGATCAAACTCGGAGAACATTGGAGGGGTTATTAACAGAAGGAGGCCGTTCGGCACAGCCCGCCTGTTTGGTAGTTTGTGATCTCAGGGTCTCATCCAGCAGTTTCCTGAAAGATCTGACATTACTGTATCATTGGTCTGTGGTGGGAAGATCTGGGACAGCATGGCTTGTCCCATGTGTTTCCATGTGTTTCCATGTGTTTCCATGTGTTTCCATGTGTTTCCATGTGTTCCTCAGGCTCCTGCCGGACGAGGCCCTGTTCCCGGCCGTGGTGACCCTGCTGGGCTCCCTGCAGGATGGGGGTGACTGCCCCCCGGCCTGGGCCCTCAGAGCCGCCCTCTTCCTGCTGTCGGCGACCCAGGACAGGAGCCCCGCCCTGGACGGGGTACAGCCACTGGGCGTGGCTGTCGGGGTTCGGCTGGGCTGGGGGGGCAGCAGGGGCTCGGGGCCGTACAGCAGGCTTGCAAAGAACAAAACACTTGGCACCAGGGAGGCGACATGTTCTCTGCTTTGTGATGAAGTTTAATCAGCTTGGGGTGTGCTTTTTCATCAGTTACAGTTACAGAAACCAGAAGGACTTGTCTGTTGCAGAAAGTGATGGTGTTCTCTGGCTTTCTGTGAGAAGGACTGTCGGGGGTGGTCTGTCCTCCTCTCCCCCAGGCCTCTGTGCACGCCATCAGGAAGGCCCTGTCAGCGGCGCCCACCTTCTCCTCTCTCTACACCCACCACCCCGCCGTCCTGCACTTCCTCTTCCGCTACCCGGAGCTCACCGAACAGTTCGGGCTGCCCGCGCTCGAGAGCT